TTCACTATACCTATCTAAACTTTTTCCGGATTTACCTGCACGGCCCTGTAGATACGGATCTAGCAAATCTGTCTTCACGCAGAGCTGGGAAATTTTGCCCGGGCGCACTGGCGTTTTACTCCTTCTACTTCTCACATAGAGATGCTTTTCTCCGGTCGCTACTACGTGACTATGTGCGATCAGTTCAACGCGCCGAACGAGAGAGAGAATGTCATTCCCTCTTTCTCCATAGTCGCTCCGCAGGCACGCGATGTGGAACGAGAAAAAGGAAATGACATTCTCTCTCTCGTTCCGCGTCGAACTCGGCCGAGTACGCGTAATTATACGGACGGACAGAAGCGTCTCTGTGTGACAAGTGGAAGGAATAAAACGCCAGTGCGCCCGGACAAGATTTCCCAGCTCTGTCTTCGCGTCGTAGAGACCGCGGACTTCATCACATATGACCCGCTATCCAGCGGCCTTGTAGGATTATGTGGGATCCAAGCGATTCACGAGAATCGGAGGGAGCCACGGAGGGAGCCGAGAAGACTCACCTCCGAGTGTCTGAGGCCTTGATTGCTGTCTCAGATTTCGATTGAGACTCAATTGGTGGCTCAATCGCGGTAGCGATCTGGCAATAGACTACCGTTTCAGAGTACCTCCGCGCTTGGAAGAAATCCCTCTTTCGGAGAATATGGTCGCATAATCTTGATAAGCGCTAGGACTCGAATGGCGAGATAACTGTTAGCTGCGCGATTGAAAGTATCGCTGCCGCCTTACACGGGTTGTAAATTCGAGCGTGCTCTCGTGCGTTCGCGTCGCGTGAAGCGAGTGCGTGCGCGGGAAGCCGAACTTGCCAAATTAAGGACCTCTGTCCTTAACAGTTGCGCTAGGTGCGCTGTAGGGAGGCCGCACCGGCACTTCTGGTTCACATCCGACCGGACGGTTACGTCACGCTAGGCGACGAGAGAGGCGAGCAAGTCGCCTTAAGGTCGTTCTAAATTAGTTACAAGTAGCCAATTGCAAGATCGCATTGTTGCAAGACGCAAAATTCTTGCAATATGAGGGTGCCTCCCCATGCGGCGTAACTTGCGTAAGCGTAACCTGCGTAATATAGTAATTTATTAGAAGTTACGCCATTTTGCAAGTCAACATTCAATACCTAATCCCCATGGCGCGTATTTCATTAAATTCGCGTAAAGCGTAACCAATAACTTCCTAAAGCTAACCAATAAAAGATCAGGCTTTCTATTGTATAATATAACAGAAATACTAAATTGATTCTCGATTGGTTGTTATTATTTAGGTGTATTGTTAAACACGCGCCATGGGGATAAGGTACTTTACATGTAAAAATATGTGAAAGCGTAATATGTGTAACTGTACAATAAGGTTAAGATAGTAATTAATAACAACGTTGCCTACTGAGAAGTGTGAAGGTGGGGAAAATAATTTATTACTTTTGTTATATACTTAGTCCCTTTACTCTAAGAAAAACTGAATTTTTTACTTTTTAACTCTTTATTAGGCTGTGTAAAGTATATGTGACTCATTTTCCGACAGTTCGTAAAGGAGTGACATACAGATTGATACATAAATGATTGGAAAATGTAATATATTTATGTTTCTGTGTTTTTAAAAA